GGGAAAGATGGAGGCAAGGGAGGAAGAACAAGGTAATAAAAATAACTACAGCAGAGAAGCAGGAGCTCAGATGGTTCAGCTTCCAGAAAAACAAATGCGGCACATGTCCCTTCACAAACAAAGTGATGGGTATGTAACTGAACTGCAAATATGGTCTGTGTCTTTCTGTTCTCACTCAAGTCAAATCTTCACGGTAAGGATTTTGCCCATTCAACATTTATATTTGTTACCTTCTCATAAGCTTTTCTTTTTGTTTTAGAATCCATCCAGTCATTTTCCTTTTCCAACATGTCAATAAAAGCCCAGCGAATTCCTTCAGTCAACTCCTCCATCTGCAAAACATTTAACAAACCCCTCCCCAGTAAAATATGTCATGAATATTGTTATCAGAAAAGTTCTGGTGCATGCAGGAGCAATGGATTTTGTTAGACCATGAATTACTCCAAATCACATTATCTGCTCCTCCTTCTTCAAGGCTGATTTCTTCTCTTTCTCCAGTCCTCAGACACTTTTTCTGAGAACAAGTTTCTTTCCATTTTCTTTTCCTTCAATTGTACCACACAACCTGTTCATTGCCGATTCTTCCATGTCACAGCTGTGAGAATGGCTGTCTTGAACTCATAACAAATACTGGGAGAAATGCAGTCATTTGGGGAGATTTGTGACACACTGGTTCTAGGTCACTAGCCCAAGCAGAATAAGGAGCCAGCTCAAAGGCATTTTGCACAAATAAAGCCTTTTCTGCAGAGAGCGCATCTGTAGCCTTGTTTGGTTTATGTCAGACTGAGACATGACTTATTAATACTGTCAAAAAAAATGAATTTGGGCTGGCAATATCATGATCCAAATACAAAGCAGGATCGAAATGTTTAGCCTGTATTCAGCTGTATTTGTGAAGTACTCCTGCCCCTTGCGTACTGTGGGGATAGAGGCTGTGGCTCACAACACTGAGCAGCCTTAACTGCTTCTCTGGGCTTGAACCACCAACGACAGCTCGCATCTGTGCAAAGCTAGGAAAACCCACGACAATTTTAGCTTGGCTGCTTCTTCATGGGTTCTCTACAAATGACAGTTTTTCAGGCAGCTATACAAAGCCACGAGCATACCACAAGCCAGTTAAAAAAAAAAAAAAAAGAGTGTTTCGTGAGCATGCACGCTAAGAAAACCCTGAAGTGACAGAGAACGAGAAATCTAACAGCTAAGAGATGCATTATATGGGTCTAAAGAGAGAAATGTCCTCACAGACCAGAAAGGTGTACGCAATCAGCTGCTTCTATTTATAGCAATAGATGAACCTCATGACAGACAGCCACCGAGAATACCGCGAGAGTGAGGCAATCCAGGGGATCCAGCTGTCGCTGGAGTCCTTTAGCACAGATCAAACCAGAGCTGAGAGAGCACACCACATGACAGATAATCATTACATGAAGACTTATTGGATCTTTGTGTTACCAGTTACGTTACATTTAAAAATAATGAAAATGTCAACTAACAGAGATTTATATAATTTTATTCTATAGATCTTGTAGCTCTGAAATGTCATTAAAAGTGAGGACTAAACCCTGGAAAGTAACGTTACCTTTAGCTACATTGTCCTTTATGTATCAGAGGTATATTTTAACCCGGAACTATTCTTTATTTGTGGTGGAGCCAGAAAAAACATAGCAAAGCTCCTTTAATTATTAATTTTTTCCTACCCTTTTCAAAAAACATTTTCTTATTTTTAGAGACAATATAGGACAACTGGAACAATGTCTAGCATTAAATATAACTAAACAGTCAACGTTCACAGTAAACTGCATCCCAGGGAATAGGGTAACTTAAAGATATTGATGACAGAGCACTGACTCAATTAACTTAGCGCACTAATGAGGTGAACTCCCTGTATTTGGAGGTTACAAGTTCAAACTCAAGCTCTGCAGCTGGGCCCTGGTGTATACTTAAGCTTTATGCACCAGCTGTAGCTGCAGGGGGCAGGGGGAGAAACCTACTCCTGCTATCAAAGTTATTACTGAAACAGCTCAGGCATAGCCGTAAGAAACACTGCAGGCATTCTGGGTTAGAAACAGTGCTATATTTAGACACAAATAATGTCTTTCTTGATAAAAGGAGAGAAGTAGCTAAGGTATGAAACATCAGTCACAAAACGGGGCGGGGAAAGAATCCATATTATCCGTAACTCAGGATTTGCTTATCGTAGACAGATATATGCCGTAACCCAGGGGAAAAAAAAATTTGTACAAATAAGAGTGCTTTTCTCAAGTGCTTTCCTACTGCTTAAGAAAGAGAAATAGAACTGAAAACCAGTGAAATGAAAATGATAACACCACAAATTATTAACTTGAAAAGCACACTTCTAAATCAATTGCAACAAATTTCCCCTGTATCTAATTTTATCTCCATGGACAGTTCACTGTAAGTCTGAATCTTGTGATCTACACTATAAATTTTATATGCATTTCTTACTATGGATGCTACTGCGAATTCAGACTTGATAATTTTTCCAAGATTTGGTCTGAAAGGAATATACATGGTAAGAAATATTTTAATTAGGTCATATTTCAACAGAAAACCATTCTCTATCAGCTTCTCATAATTTTCCCTCACGTACACAAACATGAAAAAGGGTCTGTCCCCTCCATGAAATGTACATTTCTTATAGTCCTTCTCTTCCCATTTAACCTGTGCAGAAGTCATACTGTGTATCCCTGAAGTATTTTTGCCACTAAACTGCCAAATAGCACATTACAAACTTGATCAAGAATCAGGGAACTGAAAAGCTGGATCTCAGAGAGGAAACTCCAGCTGAAGGCAAGTAGCAAAAGAAATATAGAACTTGAAAGGGAAACACATGTCATAAAGATTTGGACAAGCAAAATCAGAGTGTTGGTCTGTCTAAAATGGAGTCCTTCCCTGAGAAAACAGTCAAGCTCGATAAAGTCAAATGGGCAAACTGTGGCTACTGAGCCAGGGCAGTGCAGGACTACCACAGAGCCGCTGTTCCCAGCACAGGATGCTATTTCACATGTTTCCTAAATGGTTGTGCCTCTCCTGCACCAAGAGCTAAGTTCAATGACTAAATTAGTTAATTTTAAACTGATTACTGTTGGAAAATCAATCACTGGAAAAGCAAATATTGGAAAACCCTATGAGTAAAATAGGAACTGAAAATAAGTAATAAATTATTGTGAAGTGTAATTAATCATTTGAATATGTTATTACAGGAAGTGATAATATAGCTATGTTTGAAGTTTTAAAAAGAGGATGAATGTCCAGCTAAAAGCTATTCTCTGGACTCAGCAGCATGGAAGAATACTTTCCTTCACTGTTGAGCAAATAAAAAAAAATCCAAATCACACATATAAACTCTCGGTACCCGGCTCTAAGCTTCCCTTAATTTGGGCCAGACATCAGTTACACCTTTCTTGCTTAGACTACAGGTGTAGCACAATCAGTTTTAAAAGGGTAGCCCCAAAGCAGAGAAATCTTGACTTGTCTTTAACAAGTCAGTAAAAAATTTACTATGAAGAATTACACTAAACCATTTCTCATCGATCCTCTCCCCCTATCCCCCACCCTGGGCTGTTCCTGCACAGCCTGGCTGTCATTATTTATGCAAATTAGTGCTGTTCAGCCTGTTTTTGATCTGGCTACATATTTGTCTGAAGGGCTGCATAGGGAAGGAATGGGCAATACCCAGATGGACAGAAAGGTGATATTTCTTCAAATTTGTTCTGTATTATCCTTGACTTTTTTAAAATTCAGTTAAAGCATTTTTAAAAATATTGTCTTTTTTTAAACTTCAGTCTAACATCAGAGACAATTTGTGAAGAGGAAACCACTAATTAAAGTTTCTAGACAGAGTTCTCAGAGGACTCACCATCTCTTTCTTGTCTTCTTGAAAATGAGCCTTCACAAACATCTTGCCCACGACGTAAGGGAGAGCGCTTTCAACGAGGTCCACACATTTATCCCACTGGGGCAGCAAAGTTGTGGTTCCATGGATCACCTGTTGGCAGGTGCATGTTGTAGGTCATAACATCATACTGTTTAAGTCTGCATCCATGTACAGTATAGTCTAAAGTATATTTGTCAAAGAGCTACCAAAAAGAAACAACAGCAGTACTTTACAGTTATTTCTATTTTCATCAAGTGTTATGACAAATCTGTTGAACCTAACAAAATAGCTATAAGATTTTAAACTTAGAAACAGTACAATGGTAATGACTTCGAGAAGCTAGGGTCAGAAGATTAGTTAGGGGAAGACACTCTCAAGTGCCAACTTTAGGCTAATCTTGATAGTCCTTCCATGTTAAGTGGAGAGACACTTTCCTCTAGAAAATCCCTGCTCTGAGATACCTCCTGAAAAATTTCCTCTATCTCCACTGACTAGGTGAGAAGCCTAGGGAGATTATCCTCATGAAAATGAGGTCAGTCCTTATGAAACACCTCCTACAGAGCCCTGAACTGCCATGAGCTTATCTGTGTTAACTGATGATGTCTAACTTTGGTAGGTACGTGTCCATACCTTTTTGCCATTTACCTGTCTGGCTATTCCCAGAGTATTTTCAAGAGAAAACAGGTTTGAATCATCAAGAACACTGAATACACATTTATCCCTCCAAAACTCTCACTCCATGTTGTGGAAGAAAGATGTTGGTAGAACAGCTTGTGTCTTTTACTGAAGGAATGGTGGTTAAATATACACTTGCAGGCTATGACGATGTCCCTGCACCACCATACATGCGTTTCAAAAGAGAAATACTCAAGAATGGTCAACACACCAATGAACAAGGCAAACCACAGCTCAAGCACATTGCTGCCTTGGTTTCTGTTTCTCATAGGAAGAATGTTGTTACCGTGGACACTTACACAGTTAACATTACATTTTCTTGACAAGGTAGAAATTCATTTTTTAAAAAAGTACACATAACAAAATATGAGATGGGTCCATGAAAGAAATAGCAGTGCTGATTTGTGAAAATGTTGTTGTTTTCAAGGTTCAAAGAGTTTCCTTTCCACGTAAGGAACTTCTTAAGCTTTTCCACAGAGAACAAGCAAAATCACAGTCCAGTAGTTAATACCTGTCAGCTGTGTAAAAGCAGAGTACAGTCAACACCAGATCAGGTCAGGTGGTGTAGGATTTTGGCCTCTCACAGATTATACAAGCCTCTTAAGCACTGATATAGCAGTTTCTGACCCTCTTCTTTTTCCCAGTCTTCTCTACCTTTGAGCCCAAGATTAAATTTCTAGCAAAACTGAAGGGTTTGAATTTATTGTTTTCCAATAGGAAAAGATTTCATTGGAAAATTTCAGAGTAGCTTAACCCTCAGCTATTGAAGGTCAGATATTTTGGTAGTTCAAAGATTAACTTTCTCCATCATATTTTCTGTAATTAAGCTTAATCAATGACTCATACTTAAATACACCAGTGAACTGCATTTTCAAATGCTTTTTATTAATACTGTATGCTCACTAATAGATTTCCAATGACAGAGAGAACACTGCTTCTGTAAGAAAAACACATTAAGCAAACCAATACATAATAAAGTAATAGTTTCCTAAACAGAGCCAAATTTGAAAATAAACTCCTTTTCCAAATTTTTTGACCCTCATATATAACACAGCACTCAAAAAAAGAAAAAAAAAAAAAAAAAGAGGAGAAAAAAAGAGAGAGGAAAATGTCTCTCCAGGGTCCAAGCAAAACCACAATGGAGCTTTTTCCTGAAGCAGAGGAAGAAAGGGAGTCATGGCATTAGTCATCAGGGCTTGAAATTCCTTCCAAAAGCTCTGACTACACATCAGCCACAGAAAGAGTCAGGAGGCAGATCTGGCTTTTAGACTGTGACATATTATTATTACAACATAATAATTATCATTATTTTGAGGGAGGGTTGACTGTAGGGAGGACAGAAAGGCAGCACAGGCTGTGAAACCAATAAAAATAGAGCTGACAAGAATAGATTATATCTCACAGCTAGCTTATTGATATTTATGTTATAACAGCCAACTAGAACCCACTCAAAATGGTCCTCCTAATATTAATGTACCACTCTAAAGCACAGTACTCCACGCAGTAACAGTGACTATAAATAGCAGATTTCAAGCCCTCCCAGTCAATTCAGAGCTCCACAACACAATTAACTGATCTCTTTGCCAGGTGCCACTGCACATTTGCTAAGACTCAAAGTGCCACTGCAGAGGAGCTGCTGATAGTTGCTGATGTGGTAATCAAAGCACTTTCTCCAGAGTCAGCACGTTTGCCCTATTTCTCAATCTGAAATTTTTTTAAGTTTCATCATGTCTTTTTCCTCTGTCTTCACAAAGAGTTTAAGTCTCTTGATGCCAGGATTTCTAGATGTAAGCTGTAAGAGCCTCCAATAGAAAATGAGAACCTGGTGAAAAAAATACCATGTTTATGTTGCGTGAGGCTGATTTAATTAATGAATGAATTCTTCCCTTTAAGGGTCACTGATTCATCTCATGGTCATGTCTTTTTAGTAGTCATTCAACGTTTTCTTCATTTACTTGGCAAGATGTTAGTGGGTCTATTTCATGATCCCAAAGGACCTGTGTGCCTTCAGTCCTCCAGCCTCTGACTGGATGAATTTGTTCAACAAAGCCTTTGCCTTGGACTCCATTTCTCATGTCCTTTCTGCTGACCTGTGAAGTCTGTTCCCCTGAGGTGTTTACTGCACTTAACTTTAGCTATTAACTATTATCTATTGCTGTTTACTGCACTTAACTAACTCTCCGTTCCCAGGTCCCAGAGGCAGATCATGGGAATGAGCAGCTGACTCACTGCCCTTACTGTACTCTTCTTGAGTTTTCACAACCACTTACATGAAACCTTGATTACATTGTTAATAAGCATTGAATGAACTTGAATTAAATTACTCTCTAAGTTTCTGGAGAAAGTACCTGGGGAAGTGAGAGCAGCTAGTTACCATGTCAAAATGCACAGTATCCAAACCTTAAAGTTTCTTCACAGGAATTTTTCTGTCCATAATATAACTCAGTGTAACTCAGTATTATGCTGCAGACTGGCTGATGGCCAGCATCATTCTATTTTACCTGGCTAGCAAGGGTTGTCCCAGGAAGGGACACACTTACAAACTTGTTGCTGTGGTTCTGACAGCCAGTTTCTCACATTTTTGCATAAGGAAAATGGCCTCTTTAACAAGACTGATTTGAATATCATTTCAGAAGTATAAGAGACTGCCTTTTCTGTGTAGTTTCCATCAAGATCTTTGGAGTTCATTTTTAGGTATGTGATCAACTCAGAACAATTCCAGTGCCACTCAGAAAAGACATTATGGGTGCTTCAATTAGCCACCTGCATGCCTCACCGGGGAGGACAGAGCACCCACACCTCCTGTACCACATCACTAGCAGTGTCATGACAACCTCCTGTTTTCAGGATGTCACCAAGCATCTAATTTTCATAGTGACAAACAAAAAGCTCACAATTTAAACTAAGGTGGCATGGAAACATGACAAAGCACCTTTCAGTTTCAGCTTCATCCTTGGTTTGCTTAAAGACCCCTCATGCTGCCCACAGGGTGGGTTTCTATTCAGGATTCACTTCATCAAATGTGTGTGTTTTACATAAAAGCCCATATACTGCTCGCATAGCTTGGGGCAGTGACTAACTAATGTCTTCTGGGGCTTCTGCAACCCCAAGCTGGAAGGCACATGGTTGGCTTCTCTGTGGAAATGGCTGATATATGTGTATGCTCATGGCTCATGTAAAGCTGGCACTAGAGCATGAGTAGAGGTTTGAGCAAGCTTAGAAAAGATGAAATCTTAGACTTTTGTTTTACCAGAGCTACATTCACACATGCATAAACAGTAGAGTTTTTCAAAAGCTTAGATCTTTGGCCAAAGCTGTTTGGCCTGCAGGAATAGCACAGGTCACAGCATTTGCACATAACTCAAAAACTTTCCAGCTTTCAAGTTTATGCATAAGAAGACTAAGCTTTTTAAAGTGGCTGTCTCAAAAACTCCTTAACATAATCTATAAGACACTTTTCCTTAGTGTCATATGTATGTCTTAATTGTTTTAGAGGGAGTCTTCAACAAAATGTTTATTCATAAAATTTATCCAGCATGGAAAACATTTCATGTTTTGCAAAGGTATAAGCAACTATAAGGGAAACCAATAGTGTCAACACTAGTAACATTGTAAAATGTTCTATTAAGAACTCTAACTTACCCGAGAAAATTCCAGCCACCGATACTGAAAACGTCTACTGAGATTAAATAACCTTGAATAAACCATCCTCCACACCAGATAGTTAGCAAGAGTCCTGTTAAATCAGACAGATTTTTATCAGACATGTAAATGCATATGATGTACTGCAAATCACTCACAGAAACATCTGTACAAACATTTCAACTGAATGGTGGAAATTTCACCTTGAAAATGAATGAGTGAGGACCAAATTCATAAATCCGTATGGCACGGAAGAATCTGTATGATTGCAGCCAGTTAATATGTAATTGCACCACGATAACCATCTTCTAGGGGATATTTATAATGAGTCCATCTCCTAGTATGTCATTTTTAGGTAATGTTTTTTTTAAAAGGCAGTTTTCATTTTCCACAGAAGTGGCAGGAACTGTGTCATAATAATAGTTACATAGAAGTTCTATCTAGAGATAAGAAAATAACTGATTTTTCTTTTGTAAATTAAAGTGAATGTTATCTCTCCTCATTAGTAGGGCACATAAATCATAACTATGAAACAGAATAGATAACAGTCTATCCCATATGTACTATCATTATGTCATATTTGTATCTTTCATTAGAAGTTATCAATATGCATTTAAAAGTTCTTACTACCCACAGTGTTATTGAAGTATTAACACTCTTATTTTGCAGATGGAAAACTGAAATAGCAAAAAAGGGAAGTCTCAGTGACAAGAATCTCATAGGAACTGAGGCTGAGAGATCCAGGAAGATCTTGTTCAAACTTCCCAGGACACCTGACAGCCAGGCCCCTTTTCTAAAACTTCCAGCACTTGACTGGAATATTTATCTAGTCTAGACTGAGCTCCCTCCATGCTTGGAAGTGGCTGTATGAGGTAAATATGCATTGTGAAATACACAATTCAACTTGAAACCGTCTCAAAACAAGTCCAATAATGGTCTACAGGTATTACTCTCATCTTGTCTTCCAGATGACATATTTTTCAAGGATAGTCATTGCTCTAAAGCTATGGTTATCCAAATGTCATTTGCTTTACACTGGGATATACATAACATTTCGGGCAGACCATCGACTTCTCCATAGGGAGGAAAATTGCTCCTTTGCAACCACGATGTTGTTATGGACCATCTGAACAACACCCCCATCTCCAAAAATCCCATTTCTGCAATTTCCTGTTGCCATAGGTGTGGAGTAGCGTAGCTGTTCCTACAGTGTCACTCCATCGGCTTCATTCACAGACACATCCCATACTGTGCCCTCCTCTGAATCATAACAGGTTATAAGTAGACTTTTTGGGGGTGTTGTCTTCACAGCAGCATTCGCCTGAGCTGTAGTTTGAGTTTTGCCTCTAAACAAGCTCCAGTCCACCCATACAAAGCCTGCAGCTCAAGATAAGGTTTTGCTGCAAACTTACACTTATGGTTGCTCAGCCAGGGAGGTAATAAAGAGGTGAGAACGGAGAGGTTTAAGGCAAGCTATAGCTACATACTGTCTATTAATGACTGAGCACATGATAACCCAGTAACTCCATCAGCACGCGCACATCCAAGTGGGACAGTACACGAAGAGCAGGCGGGTGGCTCTGTGGTCTCCATGAGCTGGCTGAGACGTGCACTGGGGACCAGTCTGGTCAGGCAGAGCAGTGAGCAGCCAGGGACGGCAGGCACTCTGCAGAACTACGGGATTTGGGCTGTCCCTGCGGGCTGCCTCCAGCTGCACTGAAGCTAGCACAAGTGTGCATACTCATGTGAACCTGCACGGCAGTCGTGCATCTGTGACAGCCTGGGCAAAGCCTGTGCTTCTCATCAGTTATGTCTCCATGTGCTTATAGGTCAGAAGTATGGTCAATTCCTTTCACACAGGAAAACTTGAGGGTGCAGTCTCAAGCCAGCTGTCTCTTCAAAGGCAGGCACCTAATACTCACTAGTCTTTGTGGCCAGTGGCAACTTCTACAGGGGAGTAGAGAATTGCTGTGATTTATAAGGCCTTTTATATTCCTCCTCATCTCTCGCACTGTGGAGAGAGTCTTTCACAAAGCATTAATGTAAAGTCTTTCTCCCATTTCATTTCCTAGGCACTCAGGTCCAAATTCATCCCATGCAACTCGGTGTAACTTTAGACATGCCACATAACACTGGGTATATTCCCTCTTTCAGTATACACATATATATATCCCCACAATAATCATAAAAAAATACCTGAAAAAAGCTTTTTAGCATGAATAATGTACATTTGTAACACAGTATATGTTACAAAAGCCAAAAGAGTTCTGCTTAGATGATCAAACCATTTTGAGATAATGCTCAGGGTCATTAAAAATTCATTCCAACCTATGAAATACCAGAAAGTATAGATCTTCCCCCTAACACATTTCTGAGAATGTGGAATTTCCTCACTCAGTGGCAACTGATGCACCCTAAAAGCGCTCAGCTCTCGCTGGTTTTGTAAATGACTTCTACTCCACGAGGCTCACAACTATTTGCCTCAGGTATTTCAGCACAGCTGAATAGCAACCATACCCTGGTGGTAACTACCCTCTGCATCTAAAACAGTAGTTATGCAAGTCCTACAGATTAAAAAGTTTAAAGATTTCATTTCAATCAAAAGTCTTAGGTAAAAAAAAAAAACCAAAAACCAAAAAACAGCTAAATAGGCCACTGTCATAAACCAATTATTTGTTAAAATTCAATACTTAGTTGCTACAAATAATCAGTTCTCCCTTCTGTGTGCTTCTTGTTCTCATCCGGCAGTGTTTGTCCTTATGTCCGAGTTGGGGAACCTCTGTCAAATTGGTAGTGAATGAATGTTTGAAATTTGTAAAGGATGAGTCTCAAAAAGGTGACTTAGTCAAAGACATTAATATCAATGGGAATTCAAATACTTTTGTATCAGGCATAAGTAATGAAGGCAGTTGTCGGTTCAGGAAATATCCCACAATTAATTGAGGTTTGTTTTAATTTGGGAAAGAAAAGAAGGCTGACACATCCTAAAACCAAACTATCTGATGAGATTGTAATAATTCCTGATTGTAATCACACTAGAATACGCTGATGCATAGGATGTATAAAACAACAGGAAGGTTTTGCTTCAAAGCCCAGAGTTGTGTTTATTTGCTGGGAGGGGAGGGACAAGGGGAGGAAGGTGGAGGGGTTTTGTTGTTGTTTGAGGGTCAGCGTTCTTTGTTTTGTTTTTCAAAAGAAAACCAAATCACATTTTATCTGAATTTGTTTACCTATTTGGGGGATGATCATTTTACCTTTTTGGTTAACTAGACAAGCTTAAAATCAATTGGTCATCTCCATCTGGTTATGAAATGCCTCCAGTACTTATCTTGAGGTGATTTGCATCCCACTTTCACAAATAAGCTCAGAGAAGTTAACATCTTCACATGGAGTAAAATACAACACACAAGTAAAACATATAAATCCTCTCTGCTCTTTCAATGAGACCAGAGCATTTGTTGTTGTAACCTTCCAGAAGAGTACAGTACATAGGTCCCTATTTTAGCTTCAAAATTACTGTTACAGAAAGAAGTGTAGGCTCTTCCTAAACCATTATCACCACTATTGTTATACACACGTCCAAAGGAAGTGGTAGAGAGCTTGTTTGCTGGGACAGTTAAAATTATACCAGTACTTATGAATATCTACTAAGGAATGCTCTACCCTGTCTGGGAATAAAGTAGGTTGCTCATGTAAAATTCTGTGAGTTTGTAATATTTTAATCAAAGGACATGGTGGCAATTAAAGAGGATAAATTTAATATCAGATAGATGGACAAATTAATTGACATTTTAAGAAAAAGGTCCCTTTCACAAATTTTGAGATCTGCTTGAAAATTGTATTCATAATTGAGTCACGAATCAAATTATAAGTACTGGAAAACTTCTGTCTCTATTGCTAGAGGCAGAAGTTCAAGTCAAATTATTGTAACTTCACTCTAACTAATTTTTCAGAGGCAGGCAAAGACCATAAAGGAGATCTAGTGCCCCCATCCCTCTCTAAAGAAAATTCCTCTTATGCTGCAGGAATTACAGAGTTCTACTCTATTAATTGTCCCATACTGCAAAGATAGGGTAAGGTAAGGCAGAGGAAACGAGTTATTCATTCTGACATCCATGAAAATGATAAAACTGCTTCCTTCAGCAGCTGCAAATGCCTCCAATGAGGACAGAATTTACTGCATCCTATTTATGGTTCACACACAAAGTACCAGTTCAGAGGTAACAGGGAAGGGATATTAGGGGCTCCTAACTGCTGCCAGCACAGGCCCATCACCCCCTTCATATGGCACAGCCATACTGGAGCTCTGCCATTATCTCATTTACACCACAGCTACATCAATGTTTTCAACATACACCTCTTCTTCTTGTAATACATATAAACTCCATTAAAAATCAGTCGGTACACTAAAAAACTGAAGGAATCCCTGAATAATTCTTAAGAAGAAGGTGTGACTTCAGCACTGAACACCTGATGTGACTTACGCTAGCTAGCCCGGGGCTGATGGAAACTCCTGCAAGCTAGTTATTCAGCTTCTTGGGCAGCTTGCTAGAGAGCCACACTCCTGGGCTGGATTCACAGCCGGCGCCCTGGCTTGGGAATTTCAGACAGACTTCTGAACCACACCGTGGCACATATTTCGAGCTCTACACAGTAACTTGGTTATATGCAGCACGGTTGTCAAGTAAATAACAGCCTTATTCTACTAAATTCAATCCACACCCTGCCAATGTGCTGTTTTCTAGTAACATCGTCATGTGAATGTTTTC